TATATATATATATATATATATATAAGCCATAGTTCACCACAATCCTTTATAAATGAAAGCATCCAAAATGTCTCATTTATATTATGTTTATATATAATTATATAGCCACAAAGAACTCAAAAATATTATAATAATAAATTGTTTACATACCTATGATGTAGAATCACTTACATAGCTATACAACAGAACATAGAATTTTATATTTAATTAAGGCTATTTACTTCTATCTTATCCTTTCCCCTTCCTGCAATAATAGCAAGAATGAAAATCTAGTGAGCTATGAAGCCCAAAAAGGTATACAATTCTAAGAAATAATTTATTGAATAGTATAGTGAACAATATGATTGCATTCCTAACCGAATTAAACTTATAAGATAATTTATAAAATAATAAAAAACATATACATGCTCAAATAAATTATTAATTACAACATGTTTGCTAGAGTATCATAAGTAGACATGGATCATGTCTTTTAATAATTGAAACATCACACTTTGCACTTAGACATATAAACATCCTTCATTTTCTTTGAAGTCTGTAAATAATATCATAATTAGATATCTCAGGTTATAGCCATTTATATATAACATAAAGTTAGCTTTTATAGATTTATACTAATATTCAATGGGGCTTAAGTAAAAACCAACAATATTGTCATTAAATTATATTAAGGTACCTTTTGCCTCCATCGAGGTCCCTTTTGCCCTATATGTGTAGACATTATAATATGTTATTGCCAACCCTCAACTAATATGATATTTATTTGGCTTCAAAATTTTTGAACTCATATTTGACTAATAATTACACGCTTCATGATTTAGTATAATATATAATGCTTGCATAAGAAAAAAAATAAGAAAACAGTTCATAACTTAATGTTTTTCTTTCCAAAATATTACCAATTAGAAAAACATTTATCTAATTATAAAATTCTTTATTTTAAGCTTGAACTATTAAAATTTATATGTGATCATTCATACCTACCTGTTTGATTCTGGACTAACTCAACCAAATTGTATTACGTTTAATAACTTTTTACCCTTCATTTTGGTTTAAATGTAACTATACATGCCTAAAAATGACAAAATTTACTTTTTAAATTAAAATTACATGTATTACCCATATCATGAGCTTCCTCCTCTATTCCAACACCCCATACCCTTTTCTCCTTGTAAATCACAAAATAAGTTGGGATATAGATGTCGTATCCAAATTCCTTCTCACGAGTAGTTTCTCTTTAAATTCTTTTCTTCTATTAAACTTTATCTAGTGAAATCTAATTATTTGACATTATATACTAGAACCCTCTCCTATTCGTTTCTATAACTCAAATTTGGATGTACCTCGATGTCTTCAACCAATATCCTATTTCCAAAATCAGTTATTCATGTCTCATAGGGGCAGTGGAGTAACCTAAAAAATTGTGAAAATAATTTAAGGCTCTATCAATCCCTAAATAATGCTTAAGTTTTTTTGATATTAAAATTATAAAAATCTCGCTTAATATGTACAATCATACGTGTCGAATCAAGTAATATAGTGATAGAGTTGAGTATTGATCCCACAAGGAAGAATGTTTACTTAAAAATACTAGTACTGTCGACGATATTTTAATATTTTTTAGGGGGGACAATTACCTAAAAACCCTTGTAATAAATACTAAAAATTATATAAATAAAAGTATAATGATTTTTGAGAGGGGGGGGGGGGGGGGGGGCAATTGCCCCCCCCCCACTTCCAAGTGGTTCCCCCCTTGTGTATCTATAA